AACGCGAAGGCTGGACTCGAACCGCTGAAGCGTCGACCATTTCTGGCCGGCAACTTTCAGCTGATGATCGACTAGATTGATACTTATTTCTTATATTACTTTCCAGTACAAAATGGAAGAAATCCTGAGTTATTAAAAAAGAAATTCTAAAAGCAAATTTTAAATCCCGTTCCAAACTACCTCTATAATGTGTCATAGGAACATGAATTTAGGAGCTTTACGTGTCTCTAGGTAACAGTGGATAAGAAAAGAATTTGCATAAAATAATCTGTTGACTGGTCTTTTAGGAAGAAGAATTAAAGAAAGCCATTTTAGTAGTATTTGCAAATAAACAAGATATGGAACAAGCCATGACTCCTACAGAAATGGCAAATGCACTTGGACTCCCAGCTCTAAAAGACAGAAAATGGCAAATATTCAAAACATCTGCAACCAAAGGCACTGGACTTGATGAGGCGATGGAGTGGTAAGTACTATTGCTCTGAATCCCTTAAAGATTACTTATTAAGACCATGCAACAAAAAGGAAAAGCTGATTAAGAGCACAGGGGGGTTGGCAGTGCTCATGTAGTACCCATCAGCAGTTCCTTGAAGTAGCCTAATCTGAATCAGTGATCACAGTAACAGAGACTGATTAGCCTTGAAGTAGCATATTGAGCTCATGTAGAGGCCACGTGATCCCAGGAAAAGCCACGTTTCATTTAAGGAGATGCTAACAGATGCTCTGTACATGCTGAGGCACGTTACAAATCACCTTTTCCTCTTTGAATCTGGATCACTGCCCAGTCCTATTGCATACTGTAGAAATACAGGTTTCATAAAGATGGATTTATTACTTTATTTTTAAAACGTTTGATCTTTAAATTTCAAAACAATCTGTTTTTTTAGGTTGGTTGAGACCTTGAAGAGCAGACAGTGAAACAGACTTGAAGTTTCCTTCATTGGTTATGTGAATAAATGCATTGCTGTAAATAGGATTGACAGATTATCTTTTGAAATAAATGGTGTTCCTGTGCAATCACACTGAAAGTTTGCATACTATATTTACTCCACATCTTGTGTAAGTTATATAACATCAACTTTTATGATACTCAGTACTGAATATTGGCTAGAAAAAATTGGAATAAATCTTTATTTTAAGTGTCTGAAACTATTTAACACTAATAAATATTTAACTGTCTACATTTTTCTGTCTCCTGCTAGTTATCTGTAAGGTATTTCTTTTTGAAGGTGAAGTATACAGTGCCCAGTTTTTTTGTGTAGCCTGTTTCTAAAAGTCAGGAATATGGGGTAAAGCTGTGAAAGTTTAGTATATGGGCTTTTTAGAATAGCTTAAGCAGTCACATACTTCCACCTATTCCTTCATGGAAACTTGTTAGTCAAAAATAGCCTTAACCCAAGTATTTCCTTTAAAGGAAGGGTACAATGTGTAGTAGAGATATGGCAATGGCTTCCTTGTGCTTTTGCAAAGAGAGATTAGGTGATTCTATCATCATTCAGGTATTCTTCTTCATTATACTGAAAAATGCAGGAATAGAAACCCCTTTCATAGAGTCAGCAGTGTTATTAGAAGAAAAGTCAAATGTTCTAAAAGTTTTAGGAGCTGTATAAAGTGTGCCAGTAGTAACTCAGTTTAAAACGAAAGCCCAAGTTCATCTATCATACTAAACCAAAAAGGGGCTTGTTTTCATCTTAGTCCCAGTGGCATCTACAGGGTGTATGAACAAGCAAGCTGGAATGTGCAGCATTGAGATGTAAACCCTGTCCCTCTTTGTACATGACTCACATACAAATCAGACAGGGCTTGCCACCCAACACCACCTCTGCTACCTTGCCTGTTTTGACACACACACAGTAAATGCTGCTGCTTAGTGCAATGTTTGAATCTAACCACTGGTGGCTTATTCAACAAACCATGACTTAGTAATTGTGAGTTCAAAATCAGAATCCAGCATATGCAAATATTTTCTGTAGTGTTACAAACTGGCACAGTGAGAAAGTATACACAACTTAAAATTAGCTGATAGTTATTGAAGTGGAAATATAGCATTTCATTAATGTGCCGTTTGAAAGAAGCAACCTCCTCATCAAAATAAATTAGATGGAAAGAGCTTAAGCCAGTTTCACAGTGAGAGATTTTGATTCTGAAAAAAACAAATGTCATGCTTTTTGCTACAAAATCAATACTTTATGCTACAAGTAAATGTACAAAAATAACTTTAGCATACAGTTATGGATAAGGTGTTTTAATCGTTTAATATAAAAACACATTTACCACAATCTGTACATTAGTATACAATGAGCTCTGGACAAATAAAATAGATGATAACTCTCCATCCTGAATTACAAGCCTACTCACTGAAATGACTTTACACTTTACAGATTTCCCAATAATATTATCAGTTGAACAGGATTTACAAAGAATTAAAATTACAAATCAATATTTAGAAAACCCTGCAGATGTATCTTTCTGAAAACAAAAGAGTCTGGTTTCCTGAAACAATCTCAAACCTTAAAAGGCTGTGATGTGATACTTAAGCCTCTTCCTGTACATTGCCTTTTAATCCACAGAAATACAATTGACTCTCTTAAGTAGAGCCTTAGTTGATAAAGGCTGTTGAATCTACTTGTCTTATTTTGTTAAAAACCAACAGAGGCATTAAAAACCCATAAATAGTTTTCTGCCTTCTCTTTCATGCAAGATGACAAACATGAATAGAATAAATATTTTTTATAAAAAGTTATGTGATGGAGTTTTACTCAACCATTGCCAAGTCTTTTAATGCATGGCTTCTTTGTTTTTTGGCTTTGTAACCAGGCCGCAGATATTCTATTTTTCTCTTCTTTGCTTCAATTTTATTCTTATGCTTCTTTAATTTCCTCTTGGCAGCAATCTCAGGATTAGCAACAGCCTAATGGAAAACAAAAGAGTCATAATATATTGATATTCTCATTTCCTCTATACTTTCTAAAATTGCCTGGTTTTAATAAAATGTCTCATGACAAATGAGATGGTCAACGTTTTTCAGCAAATGGAGATAAAAAATGAAATTGACAGACACTAACCTGTAGGGCTCTCTGCTTCTTTCGTTTAGCTCTCTTCTGACTAGCCTGTTTTTGCACAAGAGCAAATGAAATTGAAAAGGCCTCCAATCCAACTAATTTCTTCAGTAGTTCTATGATTTCTTGGGAAAGGTTCTTTAGAGTTGGATCTGGCAAGGATATGACTTTCGTTACTCAAAATCTGATGACAGACAGCTGAAGTATGCTATCTTCTGGTTAAATCTGCATAATTCACCAGGTATAATGTACAGTACAAAGTTCCATAAAATATAATATTCAAAATAAAACTATTCAGAAATTAGCATTAGCATTTAATTTTCATAGCAAAAATGCAATCTGAAATACACCTATTTAAAGAATCATTAGTTTTTATAGGAGAAAATGTGTTTCAGAAGTATGGTGCTGGAGAGAATTCAGGGCCTGGAAAAACGAGCTTCAGGAGCTGCATGTGTTTCTGGAGCTTGTATCCCTCCACCAGAATAAACTGTATAGTAGTAAACTTTGGGCACTTGTCATCCTCAGGCTCCTCTTTCAGTATAGATTAAGTGCAGCTTGCCAAGCCATCTGAACCCCAAGAGCCTGGAATTAACTAAACCAGCAATTTTCAATGAAACATAGCTCAGATTATGTATAGTTTAGAGTCTGGGAACACTAAACTGCACTTAATTTGGACAAAAGAGGCATATCTTATGTCTTTGAAAGCTGTGCAAGAAGACTAAAAGGAAAGTGGTGACTTTATAGTGAGAGCAGAAAATAATTAGTCAATTATAGCAAATTAGCTAACCTGAGGATCATTCACATAACACCAAGCCAGTAATGTCATTACACATACTTAGTACAGAAATGCACCCATGGGCAACAGCATAGATTGTTTAGATTTTGACCCACCAAGCTATTTATAGCAAGGCTTTTACCAGATATTTCCTTATCCCTTACTTCAGGTTGCAGCCAAGCTATCTGAATCCCAAGAACTTATGTTGTAGTCAAATATTTGGATGTTACCAGGGGCAGGTGAATATATAAAGCAGCCTTTACTGACATACAGTTTTCCAGATATGTTGGATTACAAATTTCATTATTCCCATGCAATCTGGCTGATAATCAAGCTGCCGAGGAATTATGGGATTCAAAATCCAATACATTAAGAGGATACAAGAGGAGGCTAGATCAGGTTTTCAGAGCATAGGAAATTATTTTTCCGTCCTGATATCTAGATTAAACTGAGTTTGCCAGATCTCCCTAATACCTTTAAATAAAATACACAAAACATACTGTGTCTCACATTGTCACCATGTATACAAGCCTCTCCACAGAATTACTTTATATGGATTGTGTAGATGAGAGACGTGCAATCACTTCACCACATTAACATTCAGAATGGAATATTGACATTTAAAGAAATAGCAGATAGGATAAAACAGAGCACCATAGTGTAGTTTTATGCAAAATTGTCGACTCCAAAAAATGTAAAACATATTTAAAAAAATCAAAAATTATAAATAGCAAAATTTTACAAGATCTTATTTAAGAAAACAGATTATAGAAGACCTAGTAATCCTATAAGATATTAGCAGTTTTAAATTTTAGTAATTTGTCCATTAAATTTTCAAGTATTTTTAAAAACTCAGATGTACTAAAACTTAGTACCATCTAAGACTGTTGCAGGTGTTGCTGTGCCAAATCTCTCTCTCCCTCCATTTTAAGCATTAATCATAGATGCTACTCAGTTCTACTGCAAAGAACTTGAATGCTTGCTAGGTGACAGTGATATAAGGCATTGTGTTTTAAAATGTGGAAAATCTTCTGTGTAAAGTAGAAATCTTTTTTTGCCAACTGCTTGAGTGCAAAATCCCTTACCTTGTTCTGCGTAAGTGCTACTGAGTTCCCTATACAGAGGGGCTATGATTGTTGGAAGGTAAGGTTTTACCTTCTCTTTCCCAAGGTCAACTGCAATAGCACCAAGAAATTTAAAGATGCAGGTTCTCTGAAAAGGCAAGCATATTTTGGTCAAATTAGTCCACAAAGTAACAAAACACACCAAAAGATGTTAACCATTAGTGGCAAGGGAGTACTTCTTAAGTGAAACTTGGAAAATACTGCACAAACATCATTTTCCAGCAGTTCTGACAACAGTTTGATTTGCTCAATCTCTAATTCTAAGCCTAATTTGATCCTGCTTCCTCTTCTGCACCTACAGCCCTCTCCACTCGCTCTGTATACCTTTCACTTTTGCATCCCTTCCTCCTACAATGCCTGCAAGGCCAAGTGCACCATGAAAAGCATTTCTCAGCACTCCATAGACCATGCCCCTAGCATGTAGCCACAGAACCCAGTAGTCATCTGAAGGAAAAGGGACAGAAAAGGTCTTTTCCCTTTCATGTTACATTTCCAGAGTGGAAAAATCAGATGGGTTCTTTCAGCTTAGCTCTGAGATGAGCATTATGTGGGCAACCTTCTTCATATTTTAGCACCATTATTGTCAAAGTCCTCTGTGCCCCAAGTTTCATTAAGTAAGTAATGAAAAAAGCCAGAGTCTTTGGATTGGGACAGGTTTCAAAAACCAAAACAAACACGATATAATCTGAGCAAAAGCAGGGAACAGAATTGAAGCAAGGATCTTTCGCTCATGTAATTCCAACCTTCCTAGGAAGCAAGCTAACTGATATTGAACTGGAAGGATGCTGCTCCCACTGGCGTGCCCATTTATGATAGTATCCTTAAGTATGCTGCACTTTTTTCTTTTTTTTTTTTACCATTTGCATTTGTGACCTGCAAAAGTCACTGATGCCCTGGCAATATTTTCTGAGGTGAGGGTGTTATCTGCAGAACACAAACCAACCTTTAAAGAGTCTTTGGGTGAATGAGCAGCTTCTCTTGTTGCCATTACTAGGAGTTTCTTCATCACCCACAACAAACTGGCTGGACTGCTTTTCTCTTTTGCCTCTGCACCGGAAATCTCTTTTTCATCTTCGCTTTCTAAGTCACCCTGATCTTCAGTTTCCCAGCCTACATCCTGACCAATCTCTTTGCCAACTTCTGGAGCAGGAGTCAGAAGGTACAGTACTTTGGATACAAACAGTAGATTCTTTATAACCTTGAATACAAATAAAAAGGAAAGACAGGTATCCAAATGGGTTCTGAAATGTTAACAAAAGCTTTAGGGTAGGCTCTCAGTGGACTGCTTGATTAAACTTCTTGCTTTATGACCTCTAAGCCAGTGTTTTGCAACATGCTGGCTGGGAAATTCTGGAAGTTGAAAGTCCACACATCTTAAAGTTGCTGAGGCTGAGAAACACTTCTCTAAGCTGATTGCAAAAGCAAAAGGTTTAGCATAGTTATAATGCCATTTGAGGCTCGATGTATGCCAACTTAAGAGGTCTTTGCCAGGGTATGAAAATTAATGTTATTCTTACATCAAGGAATGTATGTGCAAAACAGGAAAAGTGCACTAAGAATTATTCTTAATGCTACAATATATCCAGTCGGCATTAGCAATCCATTTTCAAAATAATTCTTTTATTAGATATTATGAAAATGAAATGCAACCGATGGGTAGTAATTGCTATAATTTTTGCAGAAACCAAAATATCACTCTTACTCAAGGAATTAGCTACTCTCAAAAAGCAGGGACTGGCACGAATCCTGACATTTAGAACAGCCTAAATTCTTTGTGTATTGAATGCATCAGGTAACTGAATAATTTATTAAAATATATGGTCGTAGGGGGAAAAAAGGCTGAGAGGATAATATTCCACCCCAAAGGCCAAGAAGATCATCCAGATTACAAATACCCCATAAAAAGCTTATTCATGCTTGAGACTAAGCAAATCTGGAGTACAGTCAGGTCTAGGAACTTCTGACTGCCATTGCAATGGGATGAAATTTGGCCACCATTTGTGAATCTTCCTGATCTTGAACTCTTACATCTGTTTCAACTATGTGTTCTTTCAGCAAACACATTACAAATATGTCAAAGCTGCCAAATTCTACTTAATAGCTTACCTGTTCTCCAAGATTGGAACTGAGAAATCTGGATTTCAGCTGATGGCAGAAAGCTAAAGCAAGTGTTTTCATCTGTAAAGGAACGTGCAAGACAATATGATGTATGCTTTGCTTCTTTAACTATAACATCTGGTGCTAACTTTGGGGCAGTAATAAACTACTCTCCAAAAAGAAAGTGACCATTAAAACACAACAAAAAGAGTAAGCTCCAGCACTGAAGATTTATAATTGTAATGCAACCAATACATTA